TCAGGGAACTCTGAGCAGGTGCCGCGGGCAGGGCCCTGCCTCCACACCACGCCCACCCCCGGGTCCTGACCCCCTCTGCACACACTGAACTCACCCAGGCCACGGGCCCCAGTGCTCAGAGCACGGCGCCAAGGAAACCCCAGAGTCACGCGACGATGAGGCCCCACGGTGGTCTGGACACGGCGTGAGCGTCCCCAGGGTGCCCGCGTGGAGGCGGGGGACCTGTGAGGAAGTCACCAGGCGACCACAGCAGGCCACGGCCCCGAGCCACCCTCTGGCTTCCCGAGTGCGATGGGTTGGATGTGGCTCCGCCTTCTACCACGGGGACACGGCAAAGGCCGTCCGCAGAGCCACGCTGTTCAGACGCTCAATATCTGCGGCTGCAGCTACGTCACCCCTGGGCCTGGAAGCAGCTCCCCAGCCTCGGGTGCTCTGCTACAGTGATGACAAGGACGCTGACGGCGGCCACGCTGCTGGGAGGCGGAGGAAGGCCGCAGGCGTCCCCGCAGCTCTCCCGCCACCCCTCGGCACGGCGGACATCAGCCCTCCTCTCGGGCTGGCTCCCTCGCAAGCACACGCACGCTTCATGTCAGTACTCAAGGCCAAAACAAGAACCAGGATCCACTTCCAAAGTTTAACTGATACATAACGAGACACAGATGAAAAACAGCTCGGCATGGCCCGGGCTCACTCCCCACTGGCCACTCGCTGGCCTCCCAGGTGTCCCGCTGGGGGCACTCGCCCTGGAGCCCACACACAGCCCCGCCTCGGATGGACCCGCCCACTGAGCTGCAGAACACAGAGACCAGAGATGGAGCCCCCCACCCCACGGCGCGCCCCAAGGCCCCGCCCGACTCCGGCTTTCCCTGCCCCTTCCAGGCTGCTCAGCCAGCAACACCCGCCGCCCCTTCTGGTCACCTCACACCGTGTCCTCCCTGTCCCCTCCTCGGCCGGCTGCAGTCTCAGGGCCGATGAGATGTGTATGCGGTGCAGCAGCGCCTGTGAGACCCACGCTCCCTCCGCCCCAGGGCCTGGCCGGAGATGCTCCGAGCCAGCAGCTCCCACAGGAGGGCACCTCAGTGTCACCCACGACACAGACTGTCACTCACAACACAGACTGTCACCCACGACACAGACTGTCACTCACAACACAGACTCCCGGACACACACAACGGCTGGGGAGGGCCCAGCGCCTGCACCTCTCACGAATTCCCAGCAACGCCGACACTGCTGACGGGGGACCACGCTTCGAGAATCACCGTTCTTGGCCACCGACTGGCAATCCTGTCACCGTGACGAGATGCGGTCACTGGGAAATAGTGAAAATGCAGATTCCAGGGCCTTGGCCCCCGAAGAGCCGGAAGCAGCAGGTCAGGTGGAGGACCTGGAGCTGGCGTAGAGGCGGGGGGGCCCCGCTGGCCGCACCCACCCCATCCCACGTCCCAGCAAACGGCCGAGGCCTCCCCACTTGCGTGAGCCTCCTCAGAGGCGAGCCCCATGGCCGCCCTGGGCCACAGGAACAAGGGGACGGTGAGGAGCAGCAGCACGGTCTCCGGGGTGAGCCCCAGGGCTGCCCGGCGAGACGCGGACCCAGCTGCGGGAGAGGCAGAGAAAGCAGCAGGGTCCCGCCTCCCTCCACCCCGAGCCCTCGCCGTGAACCGCGGGCCGACGCTGCAGAGGCCGGGCCAGGCAGCTGTCCCTCTTGGAGAAAGTTCTTGAACAGTCCTCAGCACCACGGCCCTGATGCTGAGCTGGACGGTTAGGTGGGCGAGGCGGGAAACACGAGGTGCGAACGGCCTGCGCACGACGGCACACCACAAAACAAAACAGGGAAGCAGAAGGCCCGCTCGCCAAGCTGTTTACACAAAGCCCGTATTATTTTTACGGTGACAACAAACTTTCTTTTACCAAATGTCAGAAGGAAAAAAAAACCACACACAGCAGCTTGGCGTCCACAAGAAACCTGAGAACCCCGGATGCAGGCGTCTCGCGGCCTCCTCCAGGTGGACAGCCCCAGGCGGGCGCCCACCCTGGGCTCTGCGGCAAGTGCGCTGGACAGACAGAGGCCGCCTGTCCACCCAGTGCAGGATCCCGCCACCTTCCCCTCCGTGTGACTCGCCCCCTCCTTCCAGAACTCTCCATCGTACCCAAGAGCAGCAAAGCGCCCCTCAAGGCCACACAGCCTCCAGCAGGTGTGCGGCCCCTGCGGCCAGGCTCAGACCGAGCACCCAGGGTGCGAGTCCTGCCGGGCCAGGGGACAGCACCTTCCTGGCCAACACAGGCAGGGGCACCCGGCGGCTCCTCACTCCTCACGTGCACTGCAGAAACCTCACGTCCATCAGAGATCTCCGTCAGAGACGGGCGGAGAGCACGCACCCCCTCCCAGCCCCACCCCCTCCCGCCGGGGCCACAGACGCACCTGCTCTGGCCTGTCACGCAAGCCTGTTCTGGGCCCTGACCTCCCATCTCACGGTCAGGCCTCCCCAGCATGGGGTCATCTGGAGTTGGGTGACCAGGCCTGTGTCGGAGGACCCACAGCAAGGCTGACCCTGCGGAGTCAGGGGCACAACTCTGCCCCAGGCCCCCCTGCCCAGCTCGAGCCAGATGCCCCGTCTGCTTCTCGCTTTCTCACAACCTCTACACCCAGATGCACAGAAACTCGGTCGGGAGCCCCTTCCACCAGGCGGGGGCGGGGTCACGTCTCCTGACCCTGCAGCGCCATCGGCTGCCCCCAGCACCAGGCACACAGTATGGAAAGCACCCGCTTACCACGACCAGCACCGCAGACCTGCTAACAAGCCGGCTCAGCCCCCAGATCCCACAGCCCAGGTGCCTAGGTCGCCGGAAGCACCACCAGCTTTGCCGGGCTGTCACGGTCACAGCTCAAATGCCCCTGCCTACAGCCCGCCCAGCCAAGTGCGACTCCCCGCAGACAAGGAAAGGAACCTGCCTCGGACCCCCACAACCAGCTCTCCCCGAGCCCCAGCCCTACTCAGACCTCCGTAACTTAGGGCCAGGGCTGGCTCCAGGCCTCCGCACTCCCAGCAGGTGGCCAACCAAGTGCAGGCGGCAGCAACTCCAGGTCAGGACCCCAGGACGCCACCCATCCAAGCCCCTCCCAGCACATCCCTGGTCTGGGCTGAAACAGAAGCAAGGACTCCCACAGCTGTGCCACAGCACCGCCGGCCTCGCAGCACCCACAGCCCTAGGGCAGAGGGGAGGCAGGGCTGGCCGGGTCCTCCCCAGGCCAGCAGGGACCTCACACGTCTGAAGATGCCCCCAGGACCCCAGAGCTGAGACGAGGCTGCAGACCAGGAAGCCGTGTGCTAGAGCAGTGGCCGGGTCTGGCCACAGGCATGACTCTGGAGGGAGCCTGCTTCTTTCTTTTTTGTTTTTGTTTTCAAAGACTTATTTATGCATGTAAAAGGCAGTACTGCAGAGAGTGACCGTCCATCTGCTGGTTCACTCCTCAAATGGCCGCAACAGCCAGGGCTGGGCCAGGCCGAAGCTTCATTCAGGTCGCCCATGTGGGTACCAGGGCCCAAGGACTTGGCCTTCCCAGGCCATTAGCAGGGACCTGGGTGGGAAGCGGAGCAGCCGGGACTCGAACTGGCGTCCACGCGGGACCAGGTATTGTAGGCGGCTCTGCCTGCTGCGACACCACAGCGCCTACCCCAGGAGCCTGCTCCTGAGCAGTTCTCACACCACATTCCCCGGGTCTTGGGAACCCAGACAGAAGTCCTGGAGGGACAGGAGGCGGCACTCGGCTCCTCCAGCCGCCCCCCCCCCCAGCCACGTCCACCAGAGTGACCAGGGCTTCATCTGGAGACTCAAGAAAAATCACAGGTGCAGACATCTGGTGCGGTGCTTAGGTCACTGCTAGGGAAGCCTGCACGTCATGCTGGAGTCCTGGGTTCAAGTCCCAGCTCCGCTTCCCGTCCAGCTCACTTTCCTGCTGATCCGAACCCTGGGTGGCAACAGGTAACAGCTCGAGCAGCGGCAGCCGGGCATGGTATTCCAGGCTTCTGGCTTCAGCCTGGCACGGCCCTGGCTGCTGAAGGCATCTGAGGACTGAACCAGCAGACTGGAAGATCTCAATGTCTCTCTCTCTCTGCCTTTCAAATAAATTAAATTCATAATTTTTTAAAATATCCCTACATTTGGAGGCTGGCCTTGTGGTGCAGCGGTTAAGCCACCACCTGTGACACTGACGTCTCAGATGAACACTGGTTCGACTCCCAGCTGCTCCACTTCCAATCCAGCTCCCTGCTAACGCACCTGGGAAAGCAGCAGAAGATGGGCCACGTGTTTGAGCCCGTCACCCGTGCGGGAGACGTGGACGGAGTTCCAGGCTCCTGGCTTCAGCTTGGCCCAGCCCAGGCATTGAGGCCATTTGGGGAGTGAACCAGTGGATGGAAGACCTCTGTCCTTCCCTCTCTTTCCGTAATTCTGCCTTTCAAATAAATAAATTAAAAAAAAAAAAAAACTCCAGTGTTTTTTAAAAGAAGTCATATGGGCGGGCACAGTTTCACTGCCCACAGAAGGTCTGAAAAGCCAGCTCCGAGGTCCACACGCAGATCACGAAGGCCTCCAAGGCCCAGCCCTGGCTTTCACACAGCCCCTCCCCCAGGCTGACTCCACAGCGCACACGCCTCACCCCGCGGCTGCACAGTGCGTGCCCACAGCCACGGCCACTGCTCCTGCGGGCACCTGTCCCGTTCCCAGCAGTGGTCCCTTCTCTCCCTCAGCCCCTGCACACAGAGCCTGAGCCAGGGACGACAAGCCCGAGGGCTCCTTCCTGCCAGGCCCCACCGGACGCTGGACGCCAAGGCAGGATGCCCTGGGCAGCTCCAAGAACCCTCTCTGGGGAGAGCAAGTCGACACAGGGTCCTACCCGGACACGATGCCTGAGAGCTGGCTCGCGCGCAGGTGCACACGTCAGCAGGTGTGCGGCCCTGCCCCCGCCGCGAGCACTCCCGGAGGCGCAGGGCGGCCCCTACCTGGTAGTAGGTCTTGATGTTCCTCACCAAGATGGTCAGGTTCTGGATGCGAAGGTTCACGTCGTTGTTGACGTGCTTGTTGATGCGCTGATTCGTGGGCCGGGGGTCTCTGGGGGAGGAAAGGGAGAACGGAACTCGCACCTCCCAGCCCGCACCTCTCCTCCCTCCCCAGCCGCCAGGGAGCTGCTCCCTCGGATCCCGCCTCAAACCCCAACCCGCCAGGGCCAGGCTGGGGCCAGGGGGAGCCCGGGCTGTCCTGCCCCCGACACCTCAATCAGAGCCGCTCTGTTCCCACCGTGACAACCACCTGTCAATCAAGGCAGCCCCAAACGTTATCCTGAACAAAAACCAACAACCCACCGAAATTATGTTTCAGGATGCAGAGGACTGAAAGCCGAACCAAGCCAAATAGGCGAGCCATCCAGACACCAGGTGGGCAGAGAGGCCCCTTTCCTGGCGGGCCTGTCACTCAAACTGGTCTGGGCAGGTCCTGCCTGCGACAAGCCCTGCAGGGGCACCCAGTCTCCCTCTGCAGGGGCACCCAGTCTCCCTCGACAGCACCACCCTGCACACCGCCCTGCTCTGCACAATGCACCCCGGGGGTCCTGTGGGAAACCCCCAAAGCGGCAATCGTCTCCCACCCACAGGCCAAAGGCAGGCCTGGCTGGGATGCGTGTGGACACGGCTCCAGGTTCTCCGTTTAGGGGAGAGACGGCTCCTCAGGACCGATGGTGGCTGGGGGCTGCCGTGGGCTGGTAAGGAAATAAACCCCAACGCCATGCACTCGCTCAAGACAGTAACAGAAACCTGACAGTTGGGGGGAACCCTGTCAATCACATCAGTTCAAATGCTGCTGAGAGCGTATTTTGGGGGTAGCACAAGCTGTTCCAGCCCCAGCCACATACTGGGTGACACGCCCACCCGGAGTCCCTGTGCCCGTCTACGTGCTCAGCCTACAGCCCCCGAACAGTCACGGGAGTTCCCTAGGGCAGCAGCACGGGCGCCTCTTTGGTTGCCAGAGGACAGCATCACCTACCGGCCCCCTCGGCAGCAGTCTGGCCACACCACTGCCACGCTCCCTGCAGGCTGAGGGCGAGGTGGCTCGGGCGAGGCGGCTGCCTGCAGGGCAAGGGCTGGGCTGGGCGGCTCCAGCTACAGAGGCTCCTTGTCCTATAGGAGCCGTTGGAGCCAGGCGTCCCAGGAAGCGAGCGGTGGTCTCAGCCACGCACGGTCTCCCTCACACAGCTGGGGGAGACGCAAGCTCTTGCTGTTTCACTCTGATGGTGGGCGGGACCACCCCCCCCCACGAGCTGGAAGCCACGCCCAGCACGTGCAAAGGCACCGTGCACCCTCAGGGCCGGAACATGGGCAGCAGGGAAGCACTCGCTGATTGAAAGGACACTCCACAAGCACCCCGGACGTGACCGTCAGGTGAGCGCGCTCGTTATCACCACTCTTACTCTCTAAGGCTCTCTGGATAGACAGGTTACCAGCACACAATCCCCAAGTCCCAAATATGGGAGGGAAGACGTCCACCCATCAGCGTCCCCTCTGCCCGCACACAGGTACCTTGGGGCTGCAGGAGGCGGACACTGGGGTCCAGCCCCCAGGGGCCCGAGTTCTCTGGGCCTCAGGGCACTCATCTGCACAGCCATAGAGGATCCTCCAAAAAACACGTTCACTCTGGAAAAGCCCAGGTGCGCACCTGCTAGGCTGCCCTGTGTTCCACAGCCCAAGAAGACACCCTCCTGTCTGCACACGGCGCTTCCCCCACAGCCGTCGCCAAGAACAGCCACCTCCGTACCCATCAGCCCCAACGCAACAGCCCTGCAGTCTTGCACAGGACGTTGGAGCACGGGGAGAAACACAGGTGCCCTGAGCCTGGCGACTGGCCTGAGCCTGGGCACTTCCAAGTCCAAAACCCAGAGTGTGGAGCCCTGGGGCTTCCCTTCCCAAAACACTAGTGCCCAGCGAAGGGAGAGCCACCCGGCTGCGACCCAACAGTCAGGACTCCGGCTCAGGGCATCCCTGCTCCTTCCTTGGGGAAAGTCAGCCCCAGTTTTTGGTCAAACTCCAAAGACTTCCTCGATGCACAACTCAGAGTCGTGGCACAGCAGGGTAAGCCGGCATCCCACATGCATACCAGTTCCGCACCTTAGCTGCTCCACTTCCGATCCAGCTCCCTGCTGTGGCCTGGGAAAGCAGTAGAGGATGGCCCAAGTGCTTGGGCCCCTGCACCCAAGCGGGAGACCTGGAAGAAGCTCCTGGCTCCCAGCTTCAGATGGGCGCAGCTCCGGCCGTTGCGGCCAGTTGGGGGAGTGAACCAGCAGATGGAAGACCTCTCTCTCTCTGCCTCTCCTTCTCTCTGTGTAACTCTTTAAAATAAATAAGTAAATCTTCAAAAAAAAATGACAGGTTAACCAAAAAGGATGCCAAAACACAGGACCAAGAGCCCCTTCTTGTATAAAAGTATATTAAGGACATCTGAGTTTATCAGTAAACACCATAGGTGACATCTGGAAGGTTCCAGAAGGTGAACACTGTGCCCCCCACACTCAGACCCTGCACAGTCTCTGTTCCGTGCACCTGGATGTCCCTATGGCGCTCGGAGGAGCACGAGTTCCTTCAAAGCTCCCAGTCGGGCACCCAGAAAGGAAACTACTAAAATCCACAGTGACAGCCCCTTCGCTCCAACACAAACTCATTCGGAAACCATCTGCCCTTTCATCCTCGGCCTCTCCGTCTGCAGGATGGGAGCGTGCACTCCCGGTGCCCTGGAGCAGTGGCAGGGACCCTCCTCCCGGCCCGAGGACATTTCCGACCGCTGAATATTTAATGCCACTCTGTTTTCTTTTTTTTATTTTTATTTGTTGCAGCTAAACCAAGGGAACAAAAAAGAAGGCTGAACAAAGAGAACACGTGGAATTTACCACAGGCCTGGCGAGGGCACTAACTCTGGTCCCAAGTCCCAGGGCGCCACACGGCCACCGCTTCGGCTCAGACAGCGGCTGCCCCTGACAGGTGCGGAGCAGCGAGGGCGCCCCGCCCATGGGCACGCAGGAACCGGTCCAGGCCTCTCGGACCGAGAACAACCTTCGCTGGGCACCTCCTATGTGCAGAATCTTCTTTAATCCTCCCCAACTCTACAAACCACCACACCCTCACTGGCGACCCGGAAATCGAGGCTAGGAGAGCGCACGTGCCCGACCTAACGGGACAGGACTGCAAACCAAGCACCCAAGCACTGGGGACCGCCTCTTGTCTGCCTGATGCCAGCTCAAGGATCTGAAGGAATTTTCCCACAACAGGTTAAAGAGAGAAAATGTGTCTCCCCTGGGGTGCTGGCAGGTACCCCCAAAACTGCGCTGACCAAGGCGCCACCCCAGCCAGGCCCCGCCCCGGCCAGGCTCCGCAGCACACTGCCTTCAGTTAAGAATTCTCACACACTGGGCCTCGGGGGGGAGCTCAGCCCAGGGGCTCGCTCTCCCGCTCCCACGTGACGCGGGTGTCACCGGGAGCCCTGGGCCGAGACTACTCCTCCCCATCCCGCCTTCTAGGGTTTGCCAGGACTGTGCTGGGCGCGGTCATGTGACACCTGCCAGCTTCCCCATGGCTCTGAAGAGTTAGGTACCGCGCCTCTTATCTGAGCCGCAGCAGCTCCAGGGGCAGCTCCTGCCCACTCGGGAGAGCTTATCAGAGCTGTGATGAGCACGCGGTCTCGGGCAGGCAGTGTGGACAAGAGGCGGGACAGTCCTAGCACGCACCTGCTGGCGACCCTGACATCTGTCCGAGTGGCAGAAGGGGAAACCGGGCTCCAACGAAGGGCAGAGTCGGGTGTGGAGCTGGGACTTGGCCTGAGGCCCCCCGGCCAGGGGCCGGGGCTGAGCCACGTGCAGCCGTTACAACAGCAACAGCCACGCCCACAAGGGAGGGCCTGGTCTGAGTCCCAGCCCACTCCCAGTCCAGCTTCCTGCCGATGCGCACCCTGAGAGGCAGCAGGTGACGGCTCCAGCGCCTGGGGCCCCGCCACCCATGCAGAAGCGAACGGAATTCCGCGCTCCGAGCTTCAGCCTGGCCCAGCGCTGGCATTTGGGAGTGAACCAGAGGATGCCAGAGGGTTTTCTTTCAGACAGCATGAAATTATGTTTTAAAATGGGGGAAAGGATGAGAAAAAAGCTAGGGGCCCTCCTCCCCACATTACAATTGAATGACAGGTGCCAGCACCTATCAAGGGGCAGGCACTGAGCTCAAAACAGCACCCATACAAGTGAGTGACAGGTGCCAGCACCTATCAAGGGGCAGGCACTGAGCTCAAAACAGCACCCATACAAGTGAGTGACAAGTGCCAGCACCTGTCACAGGGCAGGCACTGAGCTCAATGCTCACATCTCATTGGATCCTCACAGCCATCTCTGAGCCACACCCAACATCACACTGGGAGGAGGAGAGAGACCAAGGGTCCAGACCCAGGCCGGCTACCTCGGCTGCCCAATGCAGCTCTTCTCACTTCTAAAAACAAAACAAAATGAAAAAGATGCATATGTGTGAAAGGCAGAGTGACAGACAGCATGCAGGTGGGCCAGCCTTCGCTGCTTTCCCACGCACATTGGCAGGGAGCTGGATCGGAAGCGGAGCAGCCGGGACTCGAACCTGCATCCATATGGAAGGCCGGCACTGCAGACGGTGGCTTTACCCGCTGTGCCACAGTGCCGGCCCCTTCTCCTGACTTTTTAACGGCAGTAACTTTTACAGAGTGCAGCGGCTCCATCTGAAGTGACAGCTTGTGGAGTCTGATTCCACAGTGCGTCTCCCGCTGCCGCCTCTTGGCTCAGTCCCCTCCTCCCCAGGCACACGCTGTCACCTGCCCTTGGCAACCCCTTCGCTGCCGAGCGCGCCCCACTGCCTCCTGCTCCCCCTGCAAGGCCACCACCCAGCCAGAAGGACCCCCATGAGCTGCCAACTTCCCAGGGCCCACTTCTGGGACAGCAACCTTGGCCTCCGCCAGGGGGAAGGCAGCCGTGGACGGGTGATGAGCTAGCATTTCTCAAAGGACGGCGGCGGGCTTTCCTGATTCACAAGCAAGCGGTAGAGGCTCCAGGAATTCCAAAGGTCAGCCAAGAAAGGGAAACAGTCCCGGGGCTTTTGTTCCCGCCCGCACTGGGTGTGGAAGCTGAGAGAAGAGGCCGGGCCGCTGCCGGTTTTCTTAATTAAACAGTCCCGGGCTCGGGCCAGGACAGTTTCAAAGGCAGGGCCCCAACGGATCTCAGCAATTCTGGGGGTGCCGACAGGACGGGGGGCAGAGGGAAGCAGAGCCCCCATCTGCCAGGAGACAGCCCCAGAAAACCCCCTGCCCGGCCTCGTTCCCCCCGACGCGCTGCTGGAGTCGGGGTCACCGCTGTCTTTTCAGAACCTACTCAGACGCGGACAGCTGGAGGTCGGCGATGCCCTCACGCCCAGCACGAGCCGAACGACGGCAAACAAGGACGGCTTCACACAGGCCTTTTAAGTGAGCACCTACTATGCCCACTTTCTGGGTACATCAAAGCCTTCCTCCTCCCGCAGGGACCAGAAAGGGGGCTGATTCTGACACGGGGAGGCAGGAGCCTGTTCCAAGGCCAACGGCGGGATGTTTTATTTTGCCCCCAGCGCCTGTGAATCACAGGTCTCCAACACGTCCCCACAGTTTCCCAGTTCAAAACAGAACAGGGCCGCGGGAGCCCACACCGCCATGGTGGCAGCTGTCAATCACACAGACAGGCAGAACTCAGCGACAGGAAAGGATGTGGTCGGCAGCACCCGCCCCCGAGGGCGCCTTCTTCCACCAGGCCCCTGCTCCAGACCTGCTTCCTAACAGTGCCCCAGCCACGCCCCCAGCCACCAAAACGACTTTCAACCCGGGTCACACAGTGGGACTTCACCAGCTGCACCTGCTCTGGGGCAGGGGGCGGCGGGCGGGCGGGAGCTGCCGCTGCAGGCGCCTAACCCGCGGTGAAACTTTATAACCCCCTCCGACGCTCCGGCACTTCCTGTAACCAGACACTCGCTGTCACGGTTCAGCGGCCCCCAAAACGCACGGGGGCTTTTTCATTGCAACCCCCTGCCCAGGCCACCGGCACCTCCTCCAGTCTGAGGTCGGCTGCACCATGGACCCCACGTGGACGACAGGCCCTGAGCTCCAAATGTCCTCCGTCCTGGTCCCGCACACACACCGGCCCGCCGCGTCTCCCCCTACCTGGTCCCGCACACACCGGCCCGCCGCGTCTCCCCCTTCCTGGTCCGGCACACACCGCCCCGCCGCCCCGGGCCCGCGGCGTCTCCCCACTCACATCTGCAGCATGATCTGGCTCAGGAGGGTGCCGTCCGCTAAGTCCATGTACATGCTCAGGTTGTCCCGGCAGCCGCCGCCAAACGCACCGAAAGTTTTCACCTGCGGGGAGGCGGGGGGCAGACCAGTCACGCGCGCCCGCCCCGCGCCCACCCCCCTCGCCTCTCGCCGGGCAGCGGCCGCGAGGCAGCCCCGGGAAAACTTGCTCGCCACTTTTCTAGGGCCTCCCAGCGAGGCGAAGAATATATAAAAGGGCCTTTTCAACAAATCGCTCACGTCCCAAGCCCACCGGAACGCGGTGCGCCCACCCCTGCCCGCCCACGTTCCCACGCGGCGTTCCCGCCCCCGCCATCCCTCGGCTGGTCTCGGGGGTCCACAAGAGCATTTGGTGGGGGGGAAGGGGGGTCCTCTCCGGCAGTGCTTCCGCCCTGGGGGTCAGGGAGCCCTCCCCCAGGATCCTGTCGGCCCCGCGCCCCGGCGGGAACAGGTGTACGCGCTCGGCCCCCCGGCCCCGCGCCGCACGCACAACCAGGCTCCGGAGTTGGAAGCCGCGGACCCCGACCCCGGCCGAGAGCCACTTGCTGCGCTCTCGGCGTCCCGGACGCGGACCCAGCCCGGGCCCCGGCCCGCCGGAGCGCAGCCGGTGCACCAACAAAGGGGCGGCGGACGGGGCGCACTCACCCAGGTCACCAGCGGGCTCTGCAGGAAGAGCTCCAGGAGCTCCGAGACGGTCACGTCCATGCTGAAGCTGCGCCCGCCGCTCCGCGCCCCGGGACCGCCGCGCGCGGCACAAAGCGGCTCCGGCGGCGAGCGGCGGGCGCGGGGCTGCGGCGGCTCGCGCCCGGGAGACAAAGGCGGGGCGCGCGGGCCCACGTTCCGCGGCTTCGGCGGCCCCGCGCCCCGCCCGGGGCTGGGGGAAGGGGAGGAACAATGCGGGCGCCCCGCCCCTCGGCCGCCCTGGGCGCCCGGCGCGCCGCCTCGCGGTGCGGGCCCGGGAGCAGAGCGAGCCCGGCGGCCGCGGCGCGGGGCGCAGGTGTGGGCCGAGCGCGCCGCCTGCGCCGCGGGCCCCACCTCCCCGCGCGCCCGCGCCGAGCGCAGCCTCCCCGCGCGTGGGGTCCCCGGCACGTGGCGCCTCCCCGCGCGCGTGCGCTTGCGGCGGGGCCCGGACGACACGTGCGGGCCGGCGGCCGGGACGCGCGGTGCTGCGAAGGGGGGCTCCCCCGGGGGTCGCAGGTGCCCAGGTGCTGCTGAGAGCGCCGGACCCCCACGCCTTACGGCTGCGCGCGCCGGGGCTGCCGAGGTCGGCTGGCGAGGGGGGAAACTCGTGTTGGGTTTGGACCCCAGGAGCGTGACCTCCCGCGTCCCGTCCCGCCCCCGCCCCGGGCCGTCTGCCTTCTACGCGGTCCGGCTAGAAGCCCCTCCCCAACTCTTCCGCTGCACCCCCAAACCCACCACACCCCAAATTCCGGGTTCCAGCCCAGATGCAGAGCAGCACGCGGCATGAGGAAGCCTAGGCCCCCACGTGGACGGCGGCAGGCAGGCCCCGGGGCAGCACCCCTCGCCGGTACAGCCTCGGCGCTAGGCTATGCGGGGGCCGAATCCCGGGTTCCTGGCAGGCGTGCGCCACCCCCCACGCCCCAGGCCTTGTGCGGACCACTTCCCACGACTGAACTTATTTAAACCTCGAGGTGACGCTTTTCCCAGGTGAGCCAGCTGGTGGAGGCTTGGCCGCAGTGTGGTGCTCGGCAGGTATACAGCAGGCGCTAAATGGCTGCCGGTTGGCTCTAGAGTCATTGGAGTTGGTTCCATGGAGCGTCGGTCTGCGACATCTGCTGGCGATGTGTGGTATCGCAGCCGTGTTCTGGCGGACCTCAGGTTGGTGAGGGTGGCCCTGGAACTTAAGGGACAGTTAGGGTTCCCTAAGGCAGACCTGGAAGAGACAGAGGCATGCTGCGGAGGGGCGCAACTGCGTGGTCTGGTTGTGCTCCAGAAACCATTAGAAGAGTTCCTTAACCACGCATAAGTCACTTAGAAAATAGATGTGTGTAGTGCAAGTTTGTGAATTGGAGGTTGTGTTTATATTTGTGAAAAAAATTTTGAAATCTATGGGAATATTTTTAATGATGTATTTATTTATTTGAAAGCCAGAGTTACAGAGAGAGAGAGAAAGAGAGAGAGGTCTTCCATCCGCTGGTTCACTCCCCAAATGGCCGCAACTGCCAGACCTGGGCCGATCCAAAACCAGGAGCCTGGAGCTTCTTCTGGGTCTCCAAGGACCTGGGCCATCTTCCACTACTTTCCCAGGCCAAGGCAGAGAGCTGGATGGGAAGTGGAGCAGCCTGGACTCAAAACGGCGCCCATGTGGGATGCTGGCACTGCAGGTGGCAGCTTTACCCACTACTCCACAGCGCCGGCCTCTATGCATATGTTTTTATAATAAACATCTTTCATAAATTTTTAAAGACCCCTTGTATGCATGGGTTTCAGCATTTTTTGTACCAAGATAGCTTATTTTTCAAAGATTTATTTATTTGAAAGGCAGAGTTAGAGAAGGAGGGAGAAACAGATTTTTTCCACCTGCTGGTTCACTTCCCAAATGGCCTCAGGGTGGGGCTAGGCTGAAGCCAGGAGCCAGAACTTCATCTGGGTCTCCCACATGGGTGCAGGGAACCAAGCGCTTGGGCCACCCTCCGCTGCTTTCCCAGGGCATCAGCAGGGAGCTGCATCAGAAGCAGAGCAGTGGGACTCAGAATGGCACCCATATGGGATGCCAGTGTTGTAGGGGGCACCTTAGCCCACTGTCCCACAATGCTGCCCCCCATAACCATCTTTTCACTGCATTCCCCAAGGACGTTTGGAAGGACCCTTGTATGTCCATGCCATCATTGCTCAGATGAGCCCTGTTTAAAAAAAAAAATATATATATATATATATATGGAGCAGCCAGGTTTCGAACCAGCACACATACGGGATGCCAGTGTCGCAGGGAGTGGCTCAACTCCCTCTTAAAAATGGAAGTTGAACCATATGAAGTTGCTGGTATTTGTCAAATTTCATAAAATTTTAAAAATGTATTTGAAAACGGCCGGTGCCGCGGCTCACTAGGCTAATCCTCCACCTTGCGGCACCGGCACACTGGGTTCTAGTCCCGGTCGGGGCGCCAGATTCTGTCCTGGTTGCCCCTCTTCCAGGCCAGCTCTCTGCTGTGGCCCGGGAGTGCAGTGGAGGATGGCCCAAGTGCTTGGGCCCTGCACCTGCATGGGAGACCAGGAGAAGCACCTGGCTCCTGCCTTCGGATCAGCGCGGTGCGCCGGCGGCAGCGCGCCGGCCGCGGCAGCCATTGGAGGGTGAACCAACGGCAAAGGAAGACCTTCCTCTCTCTCTCTCACTGTCCACTCTGCCTGTCAAAAAAAAAATTTAAAAAAAATTTATTTGAAAAGCAGGGAGACAGAGCGAGCAAGACAGGAAGAGAGAGAGAGAGAGAGAGAGAGAAGTTCCATCCTTTGATTCACTCCCCAGACTGCTGCATCAGCTCATGCTGAGCTTGGCCAAAACCAGGAACCCGGAACTCGATCCCAGTCTCACGTAGGAGGCAGGGACCCAGCTGCTTGTGTGCAGCGCGCACAGCAGGAAGTGGAGTCGGCAGCGGAGCTGGGACCAGAGCCCAGGACTCGGCTGTGGGATGTGGGCATCTTGACTGCTACAGCCAACAGCGACCCTTACAAAAATGCAAAAATGCCATTGCAGCTCTTCCAACCCTAGGACTAATAATAAAGTAACTACTTATTGAGTGCTTTGGTAGTATTTTTTAAAGATTTATTTATTTGAAAGAGAGGGGAGAGGGAAAAATCTTCCATCTGCTGGTTCACTCCCCAGATGGCTGCTGCAGCCAGGTGGGGCTGGGCCGAGGCTCCGCCCTGCTCTCCCGCAGTGGCAGGGACCCAAGCGCATGGGCCAGTGCTGCTGCCTCCCCATAGGCGTGGAGCAGCCGGGACAGGAACTGGTGTAGTATGCGATGCCAAAATCACGGGGTGGTCTGACCCCCTGTGCACAGTGCTGGCCCCCTCTGCTGGTACTTAAAGCACATTATCTTTTAGTGCTTACAACACACCTATGAGATAGCCACCTGTTTTACAGGTAGTGGTCACCAATGAGTGCATTTAATAAGTGTTACTGGAGCCAGCATTGTGGCACAGGGGGTAAAACTATCACCCACGACACCAGCATCCCATATGGGCACCTGTTCAAGTCCGGGCTGCTCCACTTCTGATCCAGCTCTGTGCAAGTGGCCTGGGAATGGTCGAAGATGGCCCAAGTGCTTGGGCCCCTGCACCCGCATGGGGAGACCCAGAGGAAGCTCCTGGCTTCTGGCTTCCGACCGGCCTAGCCTCGGCCATTGTGGCCGTTTTGGGGAGTGAACCAGTGGGTGGAAGATTCTCTCTCTAACTCTGCCTTTCAAATAAATACATAAATCAAAAATATAAAATATTACTGCACATCTGTCTGCTGAGTGCTAGCCATTAAGATAAGCACTGTGAAGAAGAATGGACTTGTTCTCAAGATGGAGTAAGAAATGAGTTTCAAGTTACATGCTGGGACAAGCACTGGCCTGGCAGTAGACGCTGGTCGTGACCCTCATCTCACTCTGGAGGACCTGGCTCCCATCCCCAGCTCTGGCTCTGATCTCCGCTTCCGCGGGAACTTGGGTCTCTAACACCCACGTGGAAGACATGGGTTGAATTCTCAGCTTCTGGTGCAGGTATTGGAGTTAACTAATGGATGGGAGCTTTGTCTATCTCCCTCTCAAACAAGTAAATATTTTTTAAATATTTATTTTCTTTTTTTTTCTGAAAGGCAAAGACGGCCCGTCCAGCCTCCCTGGGAGGCAGCAGGGATGACTGGGGCCCTGCCGCCCAGAGAGCCAAGGTCTTGGCTTCACCCTCGCCCAGCATTTAGGGGGAGAACCAGTGGAGGGAAGCACCCCTTTGCTCGTTCTGTCTCTCTCTCTCGGTCACTCTGGCAGGAAGCTGGATCAGAAGCAGAGCAGCAGCCGGTGCCACGGCTCACTAGGCTAATCCTCCACCTTGCGGCGCCGGCACACCGGGTTCTAGTCCCAGTTGGGGCACCGGATTCTGTCCCAGTCACCCCTCTTCCAGTCCAGCCCTCTGCTATGGCCCGGGAGTGCAGTGGAGGATGGCCCAAGTCCTTGGGCCCTGCACCCGCATGGGAGACCAGAATAAGCACCTGGCTCCTGGCTTCGGATCAGCGCAGTGCGCCGGCCGCAGCGGCCATTGGAGGGTGAACCAACAGTAAAAGGAAGACCTTTCTCTCTCTCTCTCTCTCACTGTCCACTCTGCCTGTCAAAAAAAAAAAAAAAAAAACCACCACGGGACGGTGAGTTAAGCAGCCCCCTGGGACACCTGCATCCCGTATCAGAGTGCCTGATCGAGTGCCAGCTACTCTGCTCCCGATCCAAGCTTCCTGTTCCCCATGGGAGACCAGGATGAAGCCCATGGCCCCTGGCTTTGTTCTGGCCCCGCCCTGGCTGAGTGGGCATTTGGAGAGTGAACCAGTAGATGGAGGAGCTCGCTTTGTCAGTCTGCCTTTCAAATCAATTTTCAAAATTTTAATTTAAAAAAAGGAAAGTTACATATTTAACATTTTAAAAGCTGCAAATAGACCAATAATTATGGTAAAAATTAAATCATTCATTATGAAGATGAGTTATTAGATAATACAATATAACTTAAAGAAAGAAGCTTTACTGGAAAATGCATAAATTGGGGACCAGCAGAGGCCAATGTCTGGTGTAGCAGTTATAACACCACTTGGGACACCAGCACCCCATATCAGAGTGCCTGGGTTCAGCTCTGTCTCAGCTTCCAATTCCAGCTTCCTGCTAATG